ACAATGTGTGAGGGTAGTTTCTACAGGGTGACAGAACAATGTGTGAGGGTAGTTCTACTGGGTGACAGAACAATGTGTGAGGGTAGTTCTACAGGGTGACCGAACAATGTGTGAGGAAGTTCTAGTTCTACTGTGTGACAGAACAATGTGTGAGGGTAGTAGTTCTACTGTGTGACAGAACAATGTGTGAGGGTAGTTCTATTGTGTGACAGAACAATGTGTGAGGAAGGTAGTTCTACTGTGTGACAGAACAATGTGTGAGGGTAGTTCTACTGGGTGACAGAACAATGTGTGAGTGTATATTCTACTGTGTGACAGAACAATGTCTGAGGCCAGAACAATTTGTGTTCTACTGTGTGACAGAACAATGTGTGAGGGTTGTTCTACCTGGTGACAGAACAATGTGTGAGGGGGTGAGTTTACTGTGTGACTGAACAATGTGACCGAACAATGTGTGAGGGGTAGTGTCTTCTACAATGGGTAGACACAGAACAATGTGTGAGGGTAGTTCTACAGGGTGACAGAACAATGTGTGAGTGTATATTCTACTGTGTTACATAACAATGTGTGAGGGTAGTTCTACTGGGTGACAGAACAATGTGTGAAGGTAGTTCTACTGTGTGACAGAACAGTGGGTGAGGGTAGTTCTATTGTGTGACAGAACAATGTGTGAGGGTAGTTCTACTGGGTGACAGAACAATGTGTGAGCGTAGTTCTATTGTGTGACAGAACAATGTGTGAGTGTATATTCTACTGTGTGACAGAACAATGTCTGAGGGTAGTTCTTCTGTGTGACAGAACAATGTGTGAGTGTATATTCTACTGTGTGACAGAACAATGTGTGAGGGTAGTTCTATTGTGTGACAGAACAATGTGTGAGTGTATATTCTACTGTGTGACAGAACAATGTGTGAGTAGAGTTCTACTGGGTGACAGAACAATTTGTGAGTGTATATTCTACTGGGTGACAGAAGCATAAGTGAGGGTAGTTCTACTGGGTGACAGAACAATGTGTGAAGGTAGCTCTACTAGGTGACAGAACAATTTGTGAGTGTATATTCTACTGTGTGACAGAACAAAGTACGAGTGTAGTTCTACTGGGTGACAGAAGCATATGTGAGTAGAGTTCTAGTGTGTGACAGAACACCGTGTGAGTGTATAGGTTCTACTGTTTGACAGAAGAAATGTTTAAACGTAGGTTCTAATGGGTGGCGGAACAGTTTGCGAGAGTAAGAATGAAAGTGGAGCTTTCAGTATTACTTCCGTGTAATTCCAGCTGTCCTCAAGGAAAATGTCTCTCAACCTTTAACACCCTCATTATTGGCACACTTGTAATCCACGCTAGGGTTTCACCTGCCGACTTACAATTTGAGATGTAAAGAAGGCAAGTATTTTCAAAACCGCGAATTACTTCCATAAATGTCAAACATTCAACAATCGTGTGCTTAAGAGAATGGAGACAGTTGATCGAGCAGAGACATTTATGGCGAAATGTGTAAATCGTGAATCGGCGATACCTTACATTTAAACCCCATGGATTAAGAGTGAGTGAGTGAGTTTAGTTGTACGTCGCTTTTAGCAATATTCCAGCCATATCCTGGCTGTGGACACCAGATATGGGCTTCACACATTGTACCAAGGTGAGGAATCGAACCCGGGTCCTCAGCGTGACGAGCGAACGCTTTAAACATTAGGCTATCTCACCGCCCCACTGACGCTGTGACAGCATTCTATATAAAGATTCGCAAAAAAAGATTCACATACCGCTAATAATTTCATTACAAAACAAAATGTGTTTTTACGTATTCTGTGTAGATAAAAAGACCCAAATATCTTTAATGACAATAATAAAACTATAAAACGTACACAAGAATAAAAAGCAACGTTTCTTCAAACGAGCTCCTAATCCTTTGTTTCCAAATGGGTCGTTTAAACCTCCATCAATTCCATATGGAGTATCGCAGAAAGACATCACACAAACACTGCATTGTTCCCGAACATTCATCCGCAACAAGTGTTCTATATTTTTTCTCGGCGTTAAAACCCAGCCAATCCGGCCTCCGTGAGTCGGAATTCGAGAAAAGGATCCCACCCGTTGCTACACTCTTAATTTGTTCAACCATTTTCAGGGACGCTGGAAGGAAAACCGTTCTGTGTCGAACTCCAGGGTAGCTTATAATGAGGCATTTTTTCTTTCCTGTATAATGGTTTCCACGAGTCGCACAGCCTGAGAAGGATGGGTGACTGGCAACCGTTAGGTGCAGTTGGTTCGCCTATCGCCTCCTGCTGACTTAAACCGACAAGTGAAATTACATCGCTTTTTCTCCATCTATGGGCTGCTGTCTGAAGAGAATGCCCCATCTGAATGTTTTTGTGTTGCAATAATGGAAAGGTATGGGGGGTACCTTCCCAGGGTCACTGAAGGAGTATCTGTGAATTTTATCGAGATATTTATCAAATTCATTACAGTCACTGCGGTAGCACGGGTAGAAAAAAATATACGCTAACAAAGACTGTATTGTGTACGTGTTCCATGTAAGAAGGATGTTTTTTACCGTAACATGCGTCAATTCTATTTCGTCCAATTTGATGGAAATTTGAAGATAACGTTTTTGGATGAACTCGGTGTTGAATGAAAATATGAAGTGGCAACGCACTTCGGTGTTTTTTCTTGTCGTTAACTAACCCCAAAAAGTGAACAAAATCGAATTATGAAATATTTTTGGGTTTTTAAGATAACATTTTTGAGAGATTGGGATTCATGCAATATTTGGGGGATATACACACCATAGTGCGGTAAATGATTATACAACGGTGTTGATAGGCGTGAGTTAAGAATGTCCCATGATCTTTCATAAGATAGTATGTGATTGGCCATGTGGACGAACCACGTGATTAAACACGATTCAGAGAGGAGAACCAATGAAAATTATACGGAACTAGACTTCCAAAAAAATGGACAAAATTTTGTTGGATAACGTTTTAATCCAATTCCAGGATAGCCAAGAACTTATAAGCATTGAAACAGGAAAAAGAAAGAAATCCCCAATTTCAATTTAGAATATGCGGGCCAAATCATAAGGATATATTTCCTTATATGGACCGCTGACATAATCATGTGAATGTACAGAAGGACGCCCCATGTGTGGCATTGAGGAAACCGATGTTTGCACATGACTGTACCTGAATAGGACGCACGAAATTTTACCACGCCTTTTCATCTTCGAATCGTAACGTACGTGAAAGAAAGTTTGTTTTGATGACTGAGAACATATAACTCCCTCCGCTATGTCAGACCTAGTCCTTTATCTTCCCTCTTTATCCAGAAGAGAGAACGGGATGTTAGGGTGCGAGAACCCAGACAGGCAAGGGAGTGAAACATACCCTTGTCTAACCCCGTAACTGGCTCCACTAGTGAAACTGCGTTCAGCGCCGTACATCCACGGTGGAGTTGTGGCTCTCACTATACTGACAACCATTGAGTGTCTATGTTTGCATCTCGACGTGTTTTAATGTCTTGATGAGACACGTATAACTGTTATGCATGAAATCCTTGTATGAGCAAATTGGAGGATGAATAAAACATTTTGACATTTTAACGCATATAGTAATGTCCGATTCATGCAAAGTTCGTATTAAGGATGACTGGATTGTGTATAACCTGATGAATATCTTAGTAACGGTAACACACATGCATTGCGATGTTGATGGAGATTGGGACAGAGAAACAGACTCGTAGACAGGAATGGAGGAGCTATTCGTGTGAGTGAGTGTGTGTGTGGACGATGAAAGAGGAATGGCTTGTGGCAGAGTTTTTGGTAGGCTGGTTATTGATTAGTGGTAGGATTGATGAATTGATGGGCGGAGGGATGGTCAATAGATGGATCATTAGTGGGTGACTTTTAGATGGTGGACGCATATATGAATAGGCGGACGATGAGTGGATGGGTAGTTTTGGTAAGTTGGATGATGAGTGAATGGATTTTAGTCTTTTGGGTGATGTGTGTGTGTGTGGGGGGGTTGTCTTCTAGTCACGTGTGCTGTAATACTTCGATTGATTAATTAGATGGCAAAACAGTATATTCATTCAAGTTTAAACATGTACTTCATGTTGAAGGACATTTCAGGATAACAGCTAAACATTTTACAAAAAGTTAAAGAGTCCTTAATGCATGCTTAGAAATAAAATGGCTAATTGTGTCTGGATGATATCAAGCACAATGAGGAAATTGAAACTGCTGTTTTCCCTTCTAAATTAAACAGCCTGACAACTCCACGACTTTGTTGTATATCAAACAAACACACAGTATGTGTGCACATACTACAGTGTCAGTAAGAAAATCAGACAACACTAGCGAAATATATATGATCACGCTTGAATATAGAGTGAATATATTCTGAATTGTAACTTCGGATGTAGTCATCACACTTACAATATGTTTATTGATTAAGAAGACTATGACAATAACGGTAATACAAAATGGAAGCAGTGATGATGACTAGTATATCATCGCGAATAAAACATATCTTTGTGAGAATAATCACTACAGTTCCCAACATATGAGACATAAGATGTATTCTAAATTTTATGTCTATTGACAGATACTCACAATACTGTGGATCTTGAAAAGCGTTAAAAATATATAATCTTTTATGCTGTCTTCAATAACTTTCACGGCTCGATAAAGTTAAAGTTTGCATATAATATATCAACAAATTCGGTCAAACACACCATAGATGCTAGGATTATATTGCTCTTTCTTGGGTTTAATAACTATTTACACAGCACACAAAAAGAATTCGCTGTTGAACATCTCAACATAATAGTCCAGCGGTCCCGTGCAATGCAACTAGTTTTAAGATGAATATAATATTTACTCAGTTTCCTCAGATAAATTAGTTGCATTCTCACGTATTCCCTTGCCAGCATCTCACGCCCTCTAGCTACAGCCCTGTTAAAGAAGATGCTATGAGATGTTATGGTTATCACGCCCTCTTACCTTCACAGTCTGATACTGTTCTCTTTTCTGGCGTCGGTGGGGGTGTGGTCCAAGGGGTAGAGGTGTCCGAATCCCCTGGGGTAAAGGTGGGCGTGGCAACATCTTCCCATGTCCGTGTTTGAACGCAGGACTTTTTTCGAACCAAAAATGATTTCGGCATTTTCCTTTTAACACTTAAGAAATTATCCGCTTTAAATGTTCAATGAAAATTAATTTTCGCGACAATGATCGGCCTTCTTTCAAATCATCACACAGAGTCGATATATCCAATATTTCTCTTCAGTTTAACAGCGTACTTTTTGTCACAGTAATGTAAAAACATCCATGTAAAGATGTAAGTTTCTCAGAATCACTTCAGTCCACAGCAAGCTCCCGAGGATGCGCACGGAACAACAGGGAGCTTTCTAAGAGGTGAGGTGAAGGTGCGTCGCCTTGTCTCATCCACCCGCTATAGATAACGTTCAGCTCTCCACATCTGTAAGCGACGTTATGGTCTCTCGATTTTCAGCGCATCCTCTACCCGCTACACCCGCTTCGGCTCAGTGACCCTTAACCAACAGGAGTAAAAGTAGTTCTCCATCTATTGACAAGCTTAACGGTTGGTGGGGTTGACGCGGTGGTGAAAATACCTAACGACTTTAAACGAAATGATTGTTATAAAAGCGAATATCTGTTTCTGTATTTGAAAACTTTAACACATATTATCTGGTGGAAGAAAAATTTAAAGTATTTTGCGGTGATGCCAGGTATCGTGATGCAGCTGATGTTGAGATCATATGACGCACACATCATATCACACATATCATCTCGCGAGGATCTTAACGGTCTATCGGTATTCATTGATGGTAGAAAGATAGACCATTACAGTCAGATGACCTGGTGGAGGGAGCATGGGTATAGTGGACCTGTTTGTTTATTGACCTGTAGATAACTTCAGTATCACATCCAGGTCTTTGAAGCTTCTCATACTGTAGATGGTCTCTACTACGCCCCATTACGTTCAGTGATTGGTATCCGAGCGATGACACGATATTAATAGCTTACACCTTTCCAGGCCGGGGAGGCTCAGGTTTTACGGGGAAGGGAGACATTGGGTGGGTGATGCATCGGATACCCAGAGTTAAGTTTCCGAGCAAGGCTACACTTTTGAGTGATTCTGTATTTCGATACAACCTATTTGTCACTTGCTGTTAGCACGTGGTATATTTCAATTTGGTTTAGTATTTGCTGTTTTCCCGAGCAAGGCTAGCGCTACACTTTAGAGTGGTTCAGTATTTCGATACAACCTGTTTGTCATTTGTAGTTAATACGTGGTACATTTCAATTTTGATTTTACGAGCAAGATTAGCGCTACATTTTAGAGTGGTTCAGTATTTCGATACAACCTGTTTGTCACTACTTGTTAAGACGTGGTTTATTAAATGTTTGGTGTACCATTCCTTGTTTCCCAAGTTTCCTAGCAAGGCTGCAGTTTAGTGTAATTTTGTATTTCGATACAACCAGTTTGTCACTTCTTGTGAAAATGTGGTATATTTAAAACTGATTTAATTTAGTATTCGCTGTTTCTCGAGTTTCCGATCAAGAGTGGACCAGTACTGGATTCCACCTGTTTGTCATTGGTAGTTAACACGTGTTATATTTCAATTTGGTGTAGTAGTCCCTGTAGAGAAGAAGTATTCGATCTGTAAGTAATCGAGTCTGGACAAGACACTCCAGTGATCAACAGCATGAGCATCGATCTGCACAATTTGGAACCGATGACATGTGTCAACCAAGTCTGCGAGCCTGACCACCCGATCCCGTTAATCGCCTGTTAACAAGCATGGGTTACTGAAGGTCAATTCTAACCCGGACCTTCACAATCCACTTACATGAACATATCAGCAGTGTAGGACTGTAATCATCATAAGAATATCCGACTCGACATAAGCAAATTCCCAGACAATGTGTCATTTGTTAAATGTGTATTCAGCTTTTTTACCTATGTCTGTAGGTACATCTAATTAGATACAATCACATTTTTTTCTTAAAGAAAATAAATTATTCATCAACCAAATAACCAAGTAAAATAACTAATTAAGGATCTCTAATATTTTAGGAATGTTCTTTTGGAAGGTACGACTAAAGAGATAATTTCATAAAATTATCCGAAAGAGGTTCTAACCCTTGTTCAGTATGTTAACCCTGGTATGTTGATTTCACAGGACATAAGATGTTCATGCCTTTATCATGAACTGTATTTTATCCCGGTCTCTCTGAATCGTCTGGAAAAAGCGCATTCAATCAGCCAACGCTTCATTGTCTAAATACACCCTTGTGCTCTTATATATAACTTCTCGTTTTGTAACTGATAAAGAATATGAATTTGATGTATTTGCACCATGAGCTGCGTTAGATGTTTACATAACAAAATGACACACTGTTAATTTCCTAGGGTATAAAGAGGCGGTGGGGTAGCCTAGTGGTTAAAGCGTTCGCTCGTCACACCAAAGACCCGGGTTCGATTCCCCGCATAGGTGCAATGTGTGAATCACATTTCTAGTGTCCCCCGCTGTGATATTGCTGGAATAGTGCTAGAAGCGACGTAAAACTTTATTCATTCATACTGTCTCACGCAGGGTATTATGCAAGGGTTGTTGGTTTTGCTCTCCTTCAAGGTTCTTTCAATTGTCGTTCACTTCAGATTTGATGTGGAGTATCATATTTCATCGATGATGATGATGATGAAGATGATGATGATGATGATAGGGCATGGAATACACAACAATGGAGGCACCGCATATTAAACTGCATGACAACTTATGTTTGTAAATTCAGTGGGAGAAATGTTGATGGATTTATAAATGGAAGGGCAGCAGAGGGAACTGATAAAAGGCATACCTTCATCGTATCATACTGACACCGTAGGCGACTTGCATCTGCTGTATGAAGTTGCTGGGTATAATAATATGACCTGAAATAAACCGGACTTTCCAGCTAAGGTAGCGAACAATTTGATACACAGTGTTTGAGGGAACTGCGCATTATTTCTGAAAGCTGCAAACAAATTCAATGTATCCTGCTGTGCAGCGGTTTTCTTAACATTAGGTCTTATAGTTCTGCATATGCGTTTTTAATAAATTCCTGACCCTTTAGCACCTCCTAGCACACCCATAATTGCGTGGTGTGCTATCTGATTATCTGATATGTATCTGACAATGGCATCCAATGCAAATGATTATATGTATTTACAGCAAACATTCGCATACTTTCGTCAGTGAAGCAAACTGTGACTGGTTTGACGTCTACGCACTTGTTGCGCTTTTTGAATACACATGCATGGAGAAAGGCATTGTAACAGCATGCTTACCATATAACACCACACTGTGCATTTAAAACTAAACTGTGGGTGTGTTTTGTATTCATGATGATGACATGAATTCGTTGAATGCAGATTATTACTGACATTTTCAAGGTTGTGCTGATAAAACCGGGTTATTTTCGGTCTTATAGATCCAACCTGGTCCTTCCAGCTCATGCTGATTACGCCTGTGCCTTCTCGGTCTCTCTGAACACATCCAGCCCTTCTCGATCCTACAACATAATCCTGTTACTACACTTTCCTACGCGGCCCTCTCAATCAAACATGGTCCTATTCGATCCTATCGCTCAAAAATGGGGCTATTTGACCCTCTCGGTAAAACATAGTCTTCTTAAGCCCTCTCGATCAAATGATGCTCTTCGGCCTTTTCGATCAAACAGGTTCCTATTCGGCCCTTTCGATCAAACATGGTCCTGTTTATAACTCTCTCGATCAAATATAGTCTTTTTCGGCCCTCTCGATCAAACATGGTCCTATTTGATCCTCTCGATCAACATAGTTTTCTCGATCAAACCGGTTCCTATTCGGCCCTTTGGATCAAACAGGTTCCTATTCGAACCTTTCTATCAAACATGGTCATCTTAACTCTGTCAGACAAATAATGTCTGGTTCATGTTCATTATATATTTGATTATGTATAGAGTTATAGTTGACTATTCAGTAATTTCTGAATGTCACTAATACTGCTGCTGCCATTGCTCCTCCTGAAGCCAAGAAGATCCGAGTTCGTATTGGTCTTCTGGAAACCATGCTGTCGTAAGAGGTGACTAACAGGATCGGGTGGTCAGGCTCGCTGAGTTGGGTGACACATGTCATCGTATCTTAATAACGTGGTTCGACGCTCACTATGTAACTCATTGGGTTGCCTGGTCCAGACGCGATGATGTACTTTTCGCTGTCAAACAGGTGTAAAATTACTCATCGCAGCGTAAAACAAACAGCAGCAGAAGCAGTAATATCTACACCCCCTCAGTAACAGTAGTAGCAGCAGCAACAGTAGTAATAGAAGCAGAAATAGTAGTGGCAGCAGCAATAACAGCAGCAATAACTGTAGCAGTAGTAGTAGTAGTAGTAGTAGTAATAGTAGTAGTAGTAGTAGTAGTAGCATCAGTAATATCAACACCAACAGCAGTAACAGTAGCAGTAGCTGTAGTAGTAGTAGTAGTAATAGTAGTAGTAGTAATAGTAGTAGTAGTAGTAGCAGTAGTAATAGTAGTAGTAGTAGTAGTAGTAGTAGTAGTAGTAGTAGTAGTAGTAGTAGTAGTAATAGTAGTAGTAATAGTAGCAGTAGTAGTGGTAGTAGTAGTAGTAGTAGTAGTAGTAGTAGTAGTAGTAGTAGTAGTAGTAGTAGTAGTAGTAGTAGTAGTAGTAGTAGTAGTAGTAGTAGTAGTAGTAGTAGTAATAGTAGTAGTAGTAGTAGTAGTAGTAGTAGTAGTAGTAGTAGTAGTAGTAGTAGTAGTAGTAGTAGTAGTAGTAGTAGTAGACACAGTCGCCAGGTAAAACCACATGCCTCAGCACCACATCCCCAACAAGGATGTGAGACACTAACGGTCGACATTTCCATCATCAATCTCGTGTGAAAAAAGGAGGAAAATATCCCATCCCATATAAACATATCACTGATGCAACCCGAAGCTTAAAATGACATTTTAGTGGCTGTTATGGGCTTCAGAGGCACGATCCCAGTCATAAACCTGCCTGATAACGGCTAGAGAAAGATAACATCACACACTATTTGTGCAGAAGCATTCTGTTTTCATTTTTTTAAAAAGAACCAAGATAATGATTGTGCAGCAGCTCTCATTAGTTTGGCTGGAAAGACATACAATGTAATCGTCGACAATTAGCTTCCATGGCCACGCAGATGAGGATGTTGAAGATACCGATTTTATTTATAGGCAAATCTGGCAGTTAAGACACCTGTGATTTTAGGGCGTTGTTGTCATTCAGAGCCCGCATGTGCATTTTATGGACCTTTACCTTTACTGTCAAAATATAGTATCTGGGTAGGTTACACTTTAGCAACACGTTCCCCTTACATGGGTCATTTACTCTGAAGAACGTGAACTTGGAACAAATTATCTGCCTGTTCAAGCAAAAAACAATGGCCAATAAAATATGATCGTAACATGAGTCCATTGCC